ACGAGACGGTGAGTTCTAGTCCCGCCTTAGGCATGAAAGATGGCTGGGTGACTTTGGGCCAATCACCAGGAGACTGGGAGTTCTAGTCCCACCTTAGGCATGAAAGCCAGCTGGGTGACTTTGGGCCAATCACCAGGAGACGGTGAGTTCTAGTCCCGCCTTAGGCATGAAAGATGGCTGGGTGACTTTGGGCCAATCACCAGGAGACTGGGAGTTCTAGTCCCACCTTAGGCATGAAAGCCAACTGGGTGACTTTGGGCCAATCACCAGGAGACGGTGAGTTCTAGTCCCGCCTTAGGCATGAAAGCCATCTGCGTTTCTTTGGGTGAGTCCCTCCCTCTCACGCAACCCACCTCACAAGATTGTTGTGGGGCAAATAGAGGAGGAAGGAGAATTACGGATGTCCGCCACCTTATTTATAAAAATAATAATAAATGTGGAGAAACGAATTAAAAGGCCATGTTGGGAATTGATTCATGTACACAAACAATACAGGCATTGTAAACTCCCTGCCTGATCTTGCCACGCCCTGCTGTCAATCAAACAAAATCTCACTTTCTTCTCCTTATCCAGTCGAGGAAAAGCCCCCTTTATCGGATGAAATCCGGAAACCGAATAGCTACGTTGATGGTCTATGTGAGTTTTCGGTCTCTTTTTCTTCCCTCCTTTCTCGGACACCCATGGCAGAATTGAACTTGGGTGCAAGAGATTGCCAAAGGCTCTGGGTTCGAGTAGATAAGAGTTATGAATTCGGGTTGGGAGTTTTGGGAGCTCCATCACTGGAGGCTTTCAAGAAAGACTGGGTAACCATTTGTCTGATGTCCTCTACTTAGAGGTGCCCAACTTTAAGCCTGGAGGACTTCAACTCCCAGAATTCTCCAGCCTGGCTGGAGTTGAAGTCCTCCAGGCTTAAAGTGGCCAAGATTGGAGACCCCTGCTCTATGACATTGAGCAGGACTAGAAGGCCTCTTATGTCCCTTCCAGCCGCAGGACTCTATGATTCTATCTTCCATTCTTACCTCTTTTTGCTCAGCTGACTTCGGTGGAAGCTGGAGGATCTACAGCCTTTATTTATGCAAATCTCAGTGTGCCGGTTATCAAGGTGAGCCCCTTCCGCTTTGCAATTCCCTTCCCCTCTGGGTTTGTTTTTTTTTTCCTCGCTGAATCCTCACTTTGTCATCCTCTTCCTCTTCGGAAGACACACACCCCACAAAAAACCCCCACAAATCTTGCAAAAATCCCAGGATGGCCAAGGCGTTTCATGTTATTCTGGCCTGCCTCTATACAGGAGAAAGAATGCTGGGTTTAAGATCGCCCCACATGGGTCTTGATTTATGGAGTGTCACTGAGTCTGCAATTATGGTTGTGACGGTCATTAAGTGGGTCATCGTGTGACCATGCCTGATTTTACGAGCTGTTTTGTGGCAGTGGTTTTATTCACTCACTCACGCATTGATTCATTGATTGATTGATTCATTCATTCATCCATTGATCCATTCTCTCATTCATTTATTCATTCCCTCATTCATTCATTCATTCCCTCATTCATTCATTCATTCCCTCATTCATTCATTCATTCCCTCATTCATTCCTTCCTTCCTTTCTTCCTTCATTCATCCATCCAT